CATCATGCACCATGTGGAGGGACTTCACCTGTAAATACTCTTTGTTCCCCTAGACCCTCACCATGCTCCTTCACCTCACCACTCGTCACCTGGGATACCAGGACGGACTCCCCCTTGCCCCCTTTTGCACAATTATTTGATAATTCACAATGAAATTACTGTTATATTGTTCCGCTGTGTCCAGAGTTGGCTTTTGGGTCCTTAACCTTTGTGGCGAGTCACAACAGTACCTCCAACAATCATTTTGTTAATTTACCCTACTGCTTATCACCATGTTACATTTTTTACACCTCAAGCTTCATTAACCCAAACCTGTCAGAAGACCATCCTCGTCTGATATGTTCAGCTGTTTAAGAACCTGGTTTGGGTTGTGTGCGTTGATGCAACTTGCAAAGCTAAGGTAATACATCTACAAGGCTATGACTACATCTAGTGGCTGAAGTGGGAACTGCACCGAATGGAAAAATGGGTGTAAAAGGCTGTCATTAATCAATGTCAATTATTGACAAAGGGCAGAATATGACCTCATAGCTTTTGTAAAATTAGTAATTTATTCATCAAATGGGAAATACATAAGATTATTAAAGTGACAGAGCAGATTAAAACACAAAATGTTTTATTAAAGGTCACGAGACTAAACGAAATGTTATCAAATTGTCATGATTTGGTCTGGTTTGGTTTTGTTTTTCAAAGTTTAGATCTTCTTGTTTTAGTTTTTCTTATGTTTGTGTCCCTTGTGTTTCTTTAAATGTTTCCTAGTTTAGTCTTTAGTGTTTCCTGTTTTATTTTGTAATTTGTTATTCTAGTGCAGGGGTGCCCAAACAGTCGATCGCGATCGACAGGTAGATCGCTGACTGATTCTCAGTCGATCGCGAGATGTTTAGTCAATATAAAATACAATTGTAAAATAGAAAAATGATTTCAATTTCATCTCATTGCACTGTTTCCCACACACGATACCTGTGTGGGGAGCCAATTATACTTCCGACCTGTTTGTATTTAATTTTTCATTTATTCATGAAATTGCTGCGTGCATGAGAGCGAGTGCAGGCATGCGCAATGACGTGCAGGTAAAACCGGGGGGGTAAATGTTTTACCAAAAAGTCATATATAGAAACTATGCTACGAGTATTAAGCGCATTTGATGAAGCTGCAGCTACTTTTCTCTGCTCCTCTCTGCTGTCATGACTGTGAGCATGGCGGGGGACGGGACACACCAACAAACAGTGCAAACGCACACACACACACACACACACACACACACACACACACACACACACACACACACACACACACACACACACACACACACACACACACACACACACACACACACACACACACACACACACACACTTGCACTGGAGCACCAGCCACCACGCGAACCTTTTTACTTTTTACTTTTAGTGCTACAGCACACAGTTGATCTGTGATCTTTACGGACCGAGGCGGGAACACACGTGACCCGGTCAAACAGTCGGTTCGACTTTACTCCGTTCACTCTCACCGTGTCTGCAGCTAATTTAACAAAAGCAACATCATCTCACAGCAGCCTGCTGTAGTCTGTGAACATCTCCACACAGATTAAAGTTGTTTGTTGTAAACTAAATTAAGGGAAAAACATATGTGATATAAATACAAACGTAATATTAAAATGTAGCCTACCCTAAAATAAGAGTTTAAAAAAAAGTATGTCGATATTGCATTATTTTTTACAGAACTCTCATTTATTATATCTGAAATTATTTTCTGTTTGTTGTGTGAGTATTAAATGCGTTTGTAGGCTGTCGGTAAAGGCTATGGCTCACTATGTGGACTGGTAGATCTCTGCAGACTGGTAACTTTAAAAGTAGATCTTGGTTCAAAAAAGTTTGGGCACCCCTGTTCTAGTGTTTCTCTCTTTTCTAGTATGTATGGTTCAATTCTTGAGTTCTTTGTGTCTTTGGTGTTTGAGAGTGTAGTTCTTTCTCCAGTGTTTCTTGTCTAGTGTTCATTCCTGCCTCTGTGGGTCTTTCTCAAACCAGACACTACACCCCTCTGTTTGCGCGTCCTCGCGGAGGGTTTGCCATATTAAGTCCGTCCCAAACCAATTAGCAGGGAGTGGTAGTTGGTTGTAAAACCCTCCACTAGCGAGTCTGCACCGATGCCGACTTTCGGCAATAATCAATAGTCCAAGGAACAATCACACAGTTTGTCTTTAATCATTCACGATTCATGGCGTTGTGTTGTTTGTTATTTTACAAAATTGAAAGACTGTCGTAGAAATTATTTTTATTCCAGTTACCTTCCACTTCCCTACAAGTTTCCATGACCCCCCTAGAACCCCCTGGTGACCCCCTAGGGCAGGGATGAGCAACGTTGGTCATAGCAAAGGCCACATTAATTTATTTCTCACTGCCAGAGGGCCAAATTGTTGTATACGATTACAGTCAATTATGTCTCAAATTTAACTCAACAAATACCAGTGATCAAATATTATTATGGACATATTTCTGGTTTTCATGATTTCATGGAATATTTTGTCATGTTTTCTTCATGTTCCAATTAATTGATATGTAAAAATTGACCTGAGGGCCACGTTGAGGGTTGATGGGGACCACATGGGCCCCCAGTTGCCCACCCCTGCCCTAGGGGTTCAGGGCCCTCACTTTGAAGAACACTGGTGTAGAATATCCAGTGTTGCAGCTGCTGAAGGTGACTTAGTTTCATTACTTTATGTGACGCGACTTCTTAATCCATCATTTTATTTTATAGAATATATTTTATGTCTATCATCCTCATGTGCACCGTACCTTCTAATTTAAGCTGTCAAATAAATAAAGTAGAACCAAAGTGGAAACCAGAAAATGTGCCTTCAAAGTGTAGTGGAGTAGATTTTAAAGTAATATGAAATAGGAAGTCAAACGTGTACTCAAGCATTGTACTTGAATACACTTTAAGTTATGCAAAACAACACACGTGATGTGGTTATATTAGTGAGTAGAATATTCTACTCACTGATAATAAAAGGTCAGTGAACAAAGAGATCCCTGTGTATAATCACACTGACAGTGAGAATTCAAAGACTCATTTGGATACACTGAATGCTCAGACAAGGCCAGCTGTAGAGTGCTTCAGTTATATGTATTAAAATGTGATGTACTATAACAGCTAGCGGCTGATAAACACTCTGGCTGTGTGAATTTACAGACTTTTATTGCATCACCTGAGCTTATCTGTCTTGACCAGACAACTGTAAGTCCAACTGTTAGAGCGCATGTTTTACTAAGTCAACAACATGGACTCAAACTCTTTTGTTTCATCTTCAGGGGAGGTATCAGTAAAAAGACTTTGAAGAAAGAAGACAGATGGCAGTCAGCAAATTCAAACAGTGACATTTCACTGACACCACAGAAATACAATATGAAATTATTTTGCTTAAATTTTCTTCTCTTCTCAACTCATGTTACTGTTAATCAGAATGTTTAAGGGCAAATAAGGGGAGGAAGGCTGGAAGGCCAATGGGGTTACACTGATAAACCATCATGGTGCTGATTGGTGGATGGATGTCCAACAGCACAACATGAAAATGAACCACTGTTACACCAGGAGAACAGTCACGCAGAGATGGGTGATATGAAGTGTCTCCTCCTTTTGCTGTGTGCAGGTGAGTAGTCAATTATATCTTTACATGTCTGCTGCTTACTTTTTAAGTTTCATCCTTTGAGGTAGAATTATCTGAATCGTACAGAAACCCAAGGGAAGTATTTTAACAGGCTCAGAGGCTCATATAGTAGAGATGTATTATGACTGTTTTTTTTCTCAAAGGACAAAAAACTCAAAGAAAGCATATTTTTGTGACCTTGTAGACTTTCCCGTTCTATTACACTTGCAATAAACACTGGAGGAGACTGCCTTGAGTTGCCACACGAGGGGTACATCCCAGTTCCCTTAATTGCATCCAAGTGTCCTCCACTTGCCTCCTCCACTTGCGTCCTAGTCCCTCCCACCAGAGATACATGGAGGGATGCAAGGAAACGAAGCAGAGGAGAGAGGAATGAGGAGATGTGTTTTAAGAGACATGAGACGTCCTTTCCTCTGCAGCGTCACGTGAAGCGACATCCGTTTGTAATGATGACATCAGCTGATCACGTTCAGCTGTCAGTCGACTTAAACAGCTGTTTATGTCCGCACAAATATGAACTCTATTATTTCTAATAAAATACACACAGTAGCAGTGTTTAATCTGTGTACTTTATCTGATAACAAACACCTGCACATGAAGAACAACCTACAGTCTGCTTCAAACCAAAAGGACGATTTCTACTGACAAAGAGATTTAATATTAAATTGTCTATTTATTATTTGTATTAGTTTTGACTTTTAATTCGACAATGAACTCTGTATTTTATAAACACAGATACTTATGTCTCCGGAATACTGACAATTATTTACGAGTTCTAAATAATAGAGAAAAAAGTGACCTTTTTCCAAACAGAAGATCATTAATGATCAGTCTTATATGAAACTTTACGAACGTAAATAATGATGAATGTAAAACGTGTTTCTGACTGACAGACTCCCTCTGTCAGCAAGGGCAAACAGTCTGAGTGATCATGAAAAGAAAACTATTATGAAGAAATCATTTATGATGTTTTTATTTTAACACTTCATATCAACAGACTTTTTGTTTGACAGTTAATAAAAAACAAATCAAATGTCGGGAGTGATCGGCCTATACACTCTTAGGTATTGATTTTATAGATCTTATAGGCTACATAATATTTCATTGTTACTCTTCATGTCAGACACTTTTTTTAATCCCAGCTCATCACAGACTTACTCTTTACAAACTGACAGATGTTTATAATCTGTTTAAATGTCCGACGGCCCGTTTAGCGTCTTTTTAATGTCCGTCTTTTCACCATTATTAAACTTTGCTTATGCTGATAAGTTTCATTGAAGTCTGATCCGCAGCAGCGTCCAATCAATGAGTGATATTCGATAAGGGGGCGTGCATGTCAGTAAAAAGACTTCAGCTGCAAAGTCAGCTCTCGTGTATCCTCGGTCATCGCTCCTCAGATCTCTCTCCTCTCTCCTCGTTCCTCTCCTCCTTTCAGTTATAAGAGCTTTGGGACAATCTTTATCATGGCGGGACTTGAACTACTTCCGGTTTGGCCGAGGAGATAGCGATTTCCTCGATTTCATAAGGACCGATATAACAAGGAGCCAGCTTCTTGGAAGCAACACTGAGGGGAATGTGTTTAGAACTTAGCCAAACCTTCTGACCGGGAGAGTAGTTGGGAGCAGAATCTCTGTGGCAGTCAGCCAGTCTCTGGTTGCACTCTCTGGTCCTTAAAAGTGCTGCCCTGGCCCCAACCCAGACTCTGCGGATCTGACGACGGTGAGTTTGGACTGATTGTAATTTGATTTCCATCTCCTGTGCAGGGAAGAGAGGAGGTAAATAACCCTAAGTACACTCATAAGGCACCATACCTGTGACTGAAGAGGTGAGTAAGTTGAGGGCAAACGCCACCCAAGCCAGGTGCTCACTCCACGATGAAGGTTTTTGGGCACATAAACATCTGAGGGCTGCTTCGAGGTCTCGAGGGCCCTCTCATTCTGCCCGTTGGTTTGAAGGATGGTAGCCAGATGATAAACTGACCGTTGCCCCAGTGCCCGACAGAAAGCTTTCCAAACTTATGAGGTGTATTGTGGTCCTCGATCAGAGACGATATCCAATGGTTTCCCATGGAATCGGAATACATACAGCTTTGGAGAGCCAGTCAACAATGATGAGTACTGTAGTATTACCTTGTGAAGGTGGTAAACTGGTAAGGAAGTCCAGGGCAATGTGAGACCACGGACAGCCTGGCACTAGGAGCGGACGGAGGAGATCCACAGGAGGGCGATGGGATGCTTTACTATGGGAGCAGACAGAGCAGGTTTTAATAAATTCCTTGGTATCAATAGTCATGGTGGGCCACCAGAAGTGTCGTCGCAGCAGGTCCAGGGTGTGAGAGACCCTCGGATGTGCAGATCTCACTACTGACTCGGTTGCCCGCGTGACAGCTGCCACCAGGCATGATGAGGGGAGAATCGTGTCAGGATTAATTGGTGTCTCATCTGCTGCAGCGAACTGTCTGGAGAGTGCGTCAGGTTCGATATATTTACTTCCTGGTCTATAGGTAAGGTTGAACTTGAAACGGCCAAAAAACAAAGCCCACCAGGCTTGTCTGGTGTTGAGCCTTTTGGCCTTCTGGATGTATGATAAGTTCTTGACCAAACCAGAAAGGGTGTCTTAACTTCCCTCCAACCAGTTCTAATGCCAACTTCACAGCCAGAAGCTCCCTATTACCCAGGTCGTAATTCCTTTCTGCGGGGGACAGTTTGCGGGAGAAAAAGGTACAAGGATGCAATTTTTGATCTTTGTGAGAGAATGGGGCCGACACCCACATCTGAGGCGTCCACCTCCATGATGAATTGGAGTGCGAGATCAGGCGATCTGAAGTTGGTTCTCCACACGATTGAGGCTTGTGGAGATCACTTGCAGGGACTCCATGTGTCACAGCCCTGCTCTGCCTCTCAGTACTTTTCCATTCAGACCGCCTCCCTCTCACTCTACCTGTCAGGCACACCCACCTCATCAGCTCTCTCAGCTGCAGCTAATCAGTAATCAAGCACCTACATAAGCTGCTGCTCCAAACTCTCTCATTTCCAGATTGTCATCACATTCATACCTCATTCCATCGGTTTCCCTTGGACTGATCTACAGGTCCTGCATGTCTTGGGCTCACCTTCTCCATCAAAACCTTGGTAATTACCTCAGCTTTCTGTCTGAGTGTGGCTTACCTGTTTTGTCTGTTCGACGTGAGTTTTTCTGTGTTCATGTTTGTTCTGCACGATCAGTTCTGGACTCTTTTCCTGTGCCCTCAGCGGCTACTTCAGATTAGACCGTGATTACCTCTGTTTGTCTTTGTATCACCTGCTGCTGAGAAATAAAGTGTGTGTGACTATATCTGCCAGTTTCCTGTCATTCTTCAATTGGGTCCATACACTGCCAGTTACACCATGAGACCACAAAGGGTCTGGTGGTGCTGCCCAAGCATGATTCCTTGAGAGGAGATCGTTTGGCGCAGGGAGTTAACATTAGATTGTAAATCTGAGTCGGCTGGGTCCATGTTGGCCGAATTATTCTGTTACGAACAACACGCGTGTTTGTTTTAGGACCCAAACGCACGACTCAGACAGTTAGTACAGTTATGGAGTTCCTTTAACGTTAACACGATATGTGCACGTGGAAGCGGGGAGTGATGTCAGGGGATCCGTGAGGTGGTGTCTGTGCTTTTTGTTACTGTCCCTCTATAGCTATTTTCATTTAGCTTTGATCCCTAACCACTTTCTGTTTCTGTAGTTAAGTTAGTGTCATATGTACAATCTACCCGATGTTCGTTTATTTTTTTCAAAATAAAACAATGTTTGTATTCAAACAGGAAGTTAAGTACCCTCATCATAAGACAATACAACAATTCAAAATAAAGCTCAACAAAAGCAGTTTTGAAATGCAAAATAATGAAGTTTTCAACATGAAAAACTATAAATGTGTTTATTCGCGATTAACTATTGAAATTCATAAATTAATCACAAGTGAATTATTTTCATTGTTTTACAGCCCTATTATTAGCCATTAATATGCCATCAAAGTAACCACATGCCGGGGGCTGTAAGACCAGTGGAACTTGATGAACAGAGATGGCTGCTGAGTAACTAAGTGGGAGAGAGAGAAGAGGTCCATTGAGTTCAATAATAGATTCAGATGTAGTTTTAGATATTATGGGAATTATTTGTCAAACTAGCAACTTGACTCTTAAGAGAGCAATGTACAGGGCATTTACGGTGGGTAGATCTTTCCATCAACATGTTAATGCTTGATGTCTGGAAATATCTGCAGGAGAGTTTAACATGTTGAACATTTATTTCCAGATGCAATGCAGGTCATAAAGATGTGATGTTGAGAGCCAAATAAAAGACCCTTATTAAAGAAAATAATAATAATCCATGTCCATCCAGTGCTGTATTTCAATATCTCCTCTATAGTTATGTACTAATGAAAAGTGTTGCATTTAAGTAAAATAATGAAAGATTGAGAGAAAATAGCTCTAATACTGGGTTTCCAAAGGATTATACAACACGAAGTATATTAACTTTCCAAAATGAAAAAGTTGTTGGGTCCAAAAACTGTTCCAACTCCCAGTCACCTGGTGGACTTTCTCTTTCAGGTGTCACAGTGAGCACAGCTGTGGATCTGCAGAAGAGAATTATTAATGGTAGTCCATGTGGAAATGAAGAGCGCCGGTACCATGTCAAGTTAATAGCATCAAATGGGAAGAAAGACTTCTTCTGTGGTGGCTCCCTGATCAGTGAGAGCTATGTTCTGACTGCAGCTCACTGCTGGAAACAGGGGTGGTAAGAAAGTGATGGTTTGGTTTTAAAATGAAGTAAGGGTAAATTTGTCAATTAAATGAAATTGAGCTGAAAGTCATGCTGTAATTCCAAACATGAAGACAGCTTTTCTTTAGTTTTTCTGATGTAAATATTCAATAATAACTGACCTCTGTTATCATAATACCGTATATCTACAATTATACAGTCATGTTCCTTTCTTTATTTTTTTAGGAATATGACTGCATTAGTAGGAGTGCATCCAGGTCAACCAGAAGGAGTGACAATCACAGAATACCATATCTACAATGACACTAATGGGAACCATGACATCATGCTGCTGAAGTTACCACAACCCACTCAGATTCCATACGTAGCACTTCCTAATGAAAATAAATGTAGTAAATTTCATAAAATGTGAGTTTTGATCTTTCCTAAGCTTTTTCTTAAAGTTAAAATCTTTAGGAGCTACAAGCAACAACAACAAACCTAAACAAACACAATGTAAAGACTGTCATTTTATCATCCTTTTCATAATATTTTTTTTTAAAAAGCCTTCGGACTGCAGGACATGGAGCCACAATTATGGGTCCTGATCATAAAAGAGGTACATTTTTTAAGTTATTATTTATGTTTATCCAAAATGGTGTTCGTACTTTAGTTTGTGTGCTAAGTAAAATAACTGCACAATTTAGTTCACAATGTAGTCTTTTATTTTAGCATTAAATAGTTTGAGATGATTTTTGGTGTAGAAGAAAAAAAACTCAAGTTAAAAGAAAGTTCTACACGATACATTGATCTAATGAAGAATGTAAAAGTAAAGAAAAATTCTCAACAATTTAAACAATAAAGGTTTTTTTTGTCTCTGCAGTTAATACGTTCTCCTCGTCCTTATCTAGGAATTGATAGACCAAAAGAACTTCACTGTGCTGACATCCCAGTCTTCCAGTGTCCGGACTATAAAAAATGTCTGCAGAGCAGCCCTTACCGAACAGCTCAGTATTACAGCTATCAACACTTCTTCTGTAGCCAATCTAATACTGTGGATATTTCTCCAGTGAGTCTGAACAGCTTCTTGTATTACACATTTCCTACAGCCAATACACGAGTTACCATTTAAATATGATTTAAGTTTTTAAGTCAAGATATTCAATTCTAAATGTTTATCTGTCTCACAGGGTGACTCTGGTGGAGGAGCCGTGCAAAATTGCAGGATTTACGGGGTCAACGCTTTTGTTGCTAATGGTACTCATGCCTGCGTTAACAAATCTGGATACATGGACGTCTGTAAATACATGCCATGGATCAAAGAGAAAGTGGGTCTTGGTTTTTTTAACAAAGTTAGTAATAAAGCTTTGTCCAGGGGGGAAGGGGGTAAGTGTCTTAATCCTTAGTTGTCCTTGTGAAGCCCATTTGAAAAAAGAAACAGCATTACTGCTAAAGCATTACTGAAGTGATTTGATTTAACTGTTAGAAGGCAAAAAAAACATGTTTAAAAATGTGCATTTTCCAATATACTCATGAAATGTATTTGGCTTTTTTTTGTCAGTTTGTCTGTAAAAACTATAAACATGTAAAATATGATCATGATTAATGATGAATTTAAAATGAATATGACTCAAAATGTGTTGTGTTTATTTTATTTTGGAGACTTTCTAATAACAATCAATGTTTTTATGTATTTTATTGAAATCCAGCAGAATAAAGCAGAATTATATTAAATTTTGAGTTGGGTTTTGGACAATTCAATTAAAGGCACAGTATTTAAATTCCACCACTAGGGGGCTCCCAATCACTACATTAGAAAAAAACAGTTTTGTATTGTATTAAAAAGTTGTAAAACTTTTGAATTTAAAGCTGGCTCAGTAAAGAACACTTCATTGATCAATCAATGAATTATTCATTCTTTCAGTGTCTGTTTTTCACAGCTATTTCATAATAAAAAATAATCTTTCCCTGAAGCCACCAACAGACGAGAGAGCACACCTTCATAAATCTGTGTCTTAAATGCGCAGTTAGTAGATTCTGCCACCAGGAAGCTCTCAGTCAAAAAATAACGAAAGATTACGTGGGGAATCATGGGAGTGATCCTCTCTGCTACTCCCCCCCCCCCCCCCACAAACTCAGAGATGACCGCAGTCAAGATGTGTTTACTGTCAAGCTAATGTAACCAAGTGTCATTTACATGACGTTTTTATCACAGCAACACATACAGCAACAGTACAGCAACTTTCAGAAGCAGTTCATGCTTCCTTATGCTGTGGTCATTAGCGTTACATCCACTGTTTCCATGGCAACGATAAACCTGTTGTGTCTGTCATGTCGGCTCTGTCATGGTGACCGCCACAAAATATAAAATTATAGATTTCTCTGGCTTTGATAACCTACCATGTTACATTTTACAGTCTTTTACACTCCCATGATTAAAGGCTTCAGACAATTTATTTCATTATATAAGATCTGGACCTGCTGAGAATTATGATTAAAACCTACTGGGAAAATGTTTTAAAGTCACAGTGACAGTGTCCGGTTTCTTTGTCATTATTAGAATATAAATGCTATGTTTTGGAACTCCTAACACTTGTTTTTACATTTTTCTTATTCCTGTAAAAAACTTTCTTCCCTTCACCAGCAACCCCACAAGCAGTCACAAATATCTGTGTGCTGTTGGAGCAGAGCTTCAATATTACCTGGTGTGACAGAGGTTAATTCCACAAATGGATTCAAAGCCTCTCTGAAATTTGGACAGTGACATTTCCTGTGATGGCAGTGACATTTGTGGTGACATTTGATCCTCTGAATTTGCCGTCAGCCAAATCTCATCGGATATGCAGGACCTGTGTCCTGCCATTTTAGACCATCGATCTTCAAATGAGCCTCTGCTGACGTGCAAAATGTAAAGATTTAGCTACATGCATGGTGATCATGAGGCTAATGAAAAAAACATCAGGAGTGAGTGAGAGCAGGGGAAAAGATTCTGAGAGAAAGGGAGAGAGAGGACAGATATGAATGGAATAGATACATAATGTAAGATGTGAGGTAATCTAAAAGAAGACACAAGAAAAGTCAAGTTTTACACAAAATCCGCAGCAGTGTGAATAAATAGCCATTTTAAACACATGTCCCAAATTCACAGAAAACCTGAAAGCTTGACCTTTCATTTAAGGGAAGGCTGAGGCTTTATAATGCTAAGAGTTGCTAAGTACTCTCAGTGATCGTCTTTAACCTCCTCCAAGAAAACTGGGGGCTTCAAAAAGATTGCCCTTAAACTAATGGATTTAGCCAAGTAGGCTAGGTGTGCTCCTTTCTTATTGCCTAGAATGCATCTTTCTTTTATTCTGGTGGGAGAGGTCTCTCCAGGATATCAATCCCAGTATCCATAGGACAAAATAGACCACTGAGAGGTTGTGATAAGCATGAATATAGTTTGCATAACAGGCAAAAAAGATGACTATTGACATGAAAACACACTCCCAACCATTGGCAATACCACAGCGGGGTCGGGTGAGTATATCACCACATTTAGAACGATAGAAAAGAAAGCTCAAATCAGCATCTCCATTGCTTGTGAAAGTTGACAAGAAAAAAAGACCCCAGCAGACATCATAAGCCAAGGCACTCATCTACCAGTAGAGGGCAGCGTGGATTAAAAAAAGAAAGCGTGCAATTAGATGACATCTGATTCAGTAGAAGTAGAGTCAAACATGGGGTGGCATCTCTTTTTGGGAATGTCTTCCTATGAACATGTGTGTATATGGAGGGTAAAGGGATGTTTTCCTGTATACTCAATTCTTCAAGCTCTGAGGAGCACAAAAACCTAAAAAGGTTTGCACATTTTTTTTCAGATTTATACACATATGCACAGAATTTTATTTTAAAAGTCAAGTGGCCTACACCTCTTTCAGGCCAGTTTGCTATGCATGCTACAGTTAATGGACTCTGTCAATGTCCCAGATCGTCACTGGTTACAAGTATTCAGTCAGTATTTGGGTATATGTTGTGTGAACACCAGCAACTAAAGTTTTGGCAGTCTCTCTTTTTACTGATTAAGTTGTAATCCTCAGAACATTGTGAATACAGACCCAATCTACTGCATAATGATTCAGTCACTGCCCCCTGATATCACTGCCCCCCTCTGGCTGCTGAGCAAACTTCAGTTTTGATAAGAAAGACCTCCTTTACAAAGAGCAGAGGGACTGTTCAAGTCTTTACAAGTCCATACAAAATGACATTCTGATGTTTTGGCTGCAGGATTTGTAGGAAGCTGGAACTTAAGATGACGTCTGCCTTGTAAGCCAAGCAAACAGATAACATCTATTGAAAATAATTGCGAGAACCAACTACTCCCAATCGTACTGTTACGAATGAATGAAATGCCTACTTGTACGTCCCACGTCTTGGCATGCTGAAGATCTTTTACTGGGGAGTAAACACAGAGGGAGTCTGGTGCCTCAAAGCCGGTGTTACCTGATAAAAGAATCCCTGGTGGGTCTCATTTAGCTAAAATAAATGCTGGCCTTGCAGTTTTTGATATCAGCAATGGATTCAACAAGGTCATTACTGAGCTCAGGTAATTGGCAGAAACACATTTGGAGATGTGTGTGTCCTAAACATCTGAGTGATTTGAAATATTTTCTGGCTGAAAAATGAATCAGAGTGGGAATATACAGATGAAGCATCTGTGAGTCAAGAATTATCCCTTAAGGGGTTCCATATTGTTACGTGCTGTAGCGCTGTGTCTCTCCCTCTCTCTCTCCTGTGTGCTCTTCAGGTGCTGCTTCTCAGCGTCAGCGCAGCCAGACACACCTGTGGCGGTGCTTTAAAGGTCACATATTATGCAAAATACTCTTTACCATACTTTTCTAACACTAACATGAGTCCCTTGTCCGTCTACAACCCCCCCCCCCCCAGTGATGAGAAAGTCCATCCTCTCTGTCTTTTGCCTCAGTTACCATCACTGTTTCTAGACGGAGTTACCATCACTGTTTCTAGACGGAGTTACCATCACTGTTTCTAGAGGGCTGCTTAGCACACAGCTGTTGTAGTCAGCTATAGTTTAGTGGGAGATGGAGCACAGCGCTAACCTTGCTAACAGGTTGCCACCACGGGGCCGCAACTTTTCAATTTCAATCAATCAATCAATTTTTATTTGTATAGCGTCAACTCATAACAAGTGTTATCTCGAGACACTTTACAAAAAGCAGGTAAAATACCTTACTCTTTGTCTGTTAACATTACAAAAGAGCAGGTAAAAAGACCTTACTCATTGTTATGTTACATAGAGCAGGTAAAATACCTTACTTAAGACCCGGCCTATCCATCATGAGCACTTTAGCAAAGCAGCAAAAGTTACAGTGGTAAGAAAAAACTGCCTTATTAAAAGGCAGAAATCTTTGGCCGGATCCCCGGCTCATGACGAAACAGCCTTCACAGGTCTAGACTGCGCCGGGCTTGGAAAGGGTATAGGGGGAGAGATGGGATAAGATGCTGACATGAACCCTGATACGGTGTCTGCCAGAAGATAACATTCCTAAGGTCTGTGTCACACTTTCATCGAACATAAATGAAAGACCACACCCTGGGATCAGACACAGCGAAACTTCATGTCTGACGTGAAGCTTGTGTGTGCACAAACAGCCTGTGGCACTGGGAACAAAAAAACATTGTGTTGCCAAGTTTGCAGCGACAGATGTAGCAGATGACAGAAACCTGCCAACGACTGTTTAAGTTAAATACGCAAATCTGACGGCCCTACATGTACCTCTCATGAGATCATACAACAAGGACAAGAGTTTCATTTTAGAAATGTGTCAACTGTCACGACAGATTCTTTCTTGTTTTCAGACTGACTATTTAAAAGGGAAAAGAGGGAATCTAACCATAAGCTTCTAAATGATTTCATCCGTTAGGTTCTGCTCTAATTCACTGTCCCTTTCTTGATAATGAAGGCTGTTGAAAAGCTTGCTTGTTTGCTGTGAACTGTGTCATCTTTGTTCGACCGACCTGAGCACTCACTTTACTGTGCCACAGGTTTCTTATTACCAAAGGTTCATATTTCAGTCAGGTGAAAACCAGGAAGAAGGAGGGGCTTAACGTTGAGCACAGAGAAAGAGAGAGAGAGAGAGAGAGAGAGAGGTGGAGGAATGTGGCGAAAACTGCCTGGTAGGAAAAGTAACTAGGAATTTAAAACACAGACACAGAAGTGCTCACTCTCTAACTCCTCACATTCCTTGATATCTTCCACTCCCACACAAACACACGCACACGCTCATCTTTAAGAAGCTTTTTTTAGCTTCACATGTAGCGTCCTGACATGACCGGTTAGTAACTGAAAAATGATGAGCGTTGTTGCAACAGGCCTTGTTTTGATTGAACATGATTCATTCCTTTAAATATCTGGCAAAGGACATAAAGCACTTTGGTCTTCTAGATCAAAACATAACTAAAGGGCTACATCCATATATCCATCCACCCATCTATTCATCCATCCCTACATCCATCCATCCATCCCTAATCCTGTGAATCTGGTTGAAGTTTGCTTGTCAAACCCTAAATTTATCCCCCTGGCGCGATCCCGCCACCTGTACTCTTATATTTTACG